GTTTTTAAAACTGGACTGTCTTTGCAACTGGGCTTTTGCCTGTGGACTGCAGATGCCCTAGATATACTGATAAACAAACACAGGTAGTTACCTAAGCAGCTTTCTGAAGCTTCTGATTCAAAAAGTTCACTTTCTAAACCCACTTAGAAACACACCTACTTGCATAAAGTGCTAGCAAAAAAATTCGCTCATACGTTTACAAAAGGCAAAGGTCACAGCTGCCTCAAATTTGGCCACCACCTCATTCAAAGCAGTCGCCCCGTGCAGCGATACACCACTTCTTGCACCTGAGCCATGATTAGAACGCTCCCTAAAAGTCCCGTTCCTCACGTGTGTGAAACACCATATGTGCTGGATCTCCTACGCGATGTCAAACTACGATCCTGTAGCGTAAACTCTATCCTCGGAAAGAGGAAGAAGTTGCAAGGAGCAAAAGTCCGATCCGTCGAAAAGGGCCCGTGGGGAGCGGTGATATAGTTGGTGCGGCGCAGAAGCTTGCGCGTGTTGAACGTCCTGCGCGAAGGCGCGCTGCTACGTTATCTCACATACCCCGATATCTTTGACAGGCAAATCCGGACATCGTCATCATCGGTCCGACAATGCTCCACCATTTTTTCCCGCTGTTTTTCCGTGATGTTTTCCGCATGCCGCGGTGATAGCGTCCTTTCCTGTTCAAAGATGACGGTTAAAGACCTTTCCTCTTGGCACAGCGGCGGTGTTGAGACACCGTCCCGTCCCAAGGGGCCCCAGGTCCCGTTGATATCCGAGATCACCGGGCCGCGACATATCACAGCCTGGCCTTTCCACGACGCTGGGAGAAGGGGACCAACAAGCCCATAGGTTATGGTCCAGGGGTGGCCTCGCCCGGCCCATGAAGATCTCCGGATAACCACCCAGAGCAGCTTTCGCCGCTCACTTTAGCTGCCGCGACCGGTGCAAGGCGAGAGTGCGTGGCGCCGATGTGATGGTAATTACGGGTGACGGCCATGGGTGGCGGCCATACACATAGCATCCAAATAGCGGCACCAATTTTATAATAGGGAGCGGAGCCAAGACTCATGAGCATGTGCCTTCAATGTTTTCACGTGCTAACACAAAATGCTATAAAAACGCACCTAAGGTTTCGAGAGTAAGATACCACTTCTGGATATTGTTAATATATTTCATAGACTCTGTGCCGACAACCGACGAAACTGATACTGATGTAAATAGCTATAACAGTTTGCGCACAATAAGCAGGAGAGATCTCACATACTACAAATTGTCATATTTCAAACACATGGCTTTAAAAGCAGTCAGTCGAGCATTAAACTCTCTCTCTCTCTCTATCCCTCTCCTCTCTCTCTCTCTCTCTTTTCTCTCTCTCTATTTAAAAATACATAAATTTTGGAACGTGAATGTGTGCACTGGCGACATGGGTCGTTCCTACGCCTCCAAGACGCACTGGCGACATGGGTCGTTCCTACGCCTCCAAGACGCACTGCCGACGGTCCGCTGCTCGCGTGGTGCTTTATCCTGATGGACGAAAAGTGGTGTCGAAATTCGAAATCCGCAGTGTTAAGGTGATAACTATCTCCTGTTTCTGTATTAACAACAAATGTTACGCATAAACCACTGGCATGGCGGTCCTATTCAAATCAACACTATGCCAACCAATTCACAAAGAGACAGGCGGGCCCCGTTTTTCCTTTTCTCTTCTGCTTTTCTTTTCTTTTTAACCACATATTTAACCTAGCAGTCCATCAGACAAGGAACCCTATCAATGGAGCTGGGCAGATGATTTGACCGAACATTGAGCATTCGTGGGGGACTGTTCCCAACCATTCCAGCCGAGTCGACCAGGGCATGCGCGCTGCCCTCAGGCGGCGTGCCTGAGGAAGGGCTGCTGGGCCGCGGTCACCACGTGCATGCGTTGCCGCGTGACCGCCTCTGCGCACACGTCCCCCGCGTGGTCGTGTCGCAGCCGGCACGCCGTCGCGCCACCGCCACTTTCATTCGACCTCAGCTGCGCGGAGACGGGCAGAGGCCGCCAGAGGGACGTCAAATTACGTCACCCTCCTTCCCCGCGCGCCCCACTCGTTTCCTAATTGAGTTGATTAAGATAATTATTCCATGGACGATGATGGAGGCGGAGAACGGTTTGGCCGCCTTTTCAGCTGGAGATACCATCTTTAACAACAATGGACCACTTTTTGTAATGCAACCAAACTGGTGCTTATATCAGCTGACTGTGCAGTAAAAGCATGCTGCTCTAGATAGTAATTTGTGGCGGCGTTTGTCATGTCAGGGACTGACCAGAGGCGTATTGGAGGCATTAGGGATATATGCAACATTTACGCTTACCGTACTAAACCAGGCGCTCGCTCATGCCCGAGTGGGACCCCAGGATAACGGATCTGAGGAGAATGGCCGGCAGGAACGGCATAGCGAGTCCCGCTACCAGCGGAGGTCTCGAGGAGGTGTATGTTGAACATTATTCAGCATGCAGACAAGTGCCTGGTTCTGTAGATTTTGTCCCAGTCCAAGTTCCTGGCTCCTGGTTCCGGGGCCAAAAACAAATCAAGGAGCCTAGAGCCAAGCCGAAAGTCCAGGAAAACTAGGATACAGCACATTCAGCAGTCGAGGAAGAACGAAGGTCCAGTGGGACACAAAGCCCAGAGATCCAGCAAGAAACAAATCTTACCTGGAATCACACTTATGGTCTAGTAAAGCCGGGACACATTACTGAGCCAAAGGAACCAGCAACCGGCAGGATTTTAGCTGATGTTTTCCCAGGAACGTGTGTAAATCCATGCATTGCGCTCATATACCTGATTACATGCGTAAATGGTACAAAATCAATGCATGATATCCTTTATTTCAGACGACATATCTGTTCATTGGTAAACAAGTGTCAAATGCTGATATGGCCTTCACGGATGAGTCAATGAAAACCAAGAAGCAAGACCTGGTGTCTCGAGAGCGAACCGATAGGAACTAGGAACCAGAGTTCGGCAGCTGTGGAAAGATGAATGGAAACCAAGAGCTGGTGTATGAGGTTCACGAAAGGAGCCGTGAGAATCGGGTCCCGTATCGCAGACGAAGCAGTGGGATCCAGGAACAAGAAGCTGGTGCTTACGAAAGAGCCAGTGGGGGCCAAGACCCAGAGTTCCGTTTTCATTAAGGGGCAAGTGGGGCTAGGAACAGCATCGGAACCTCGTGAAGGTCTGTTAGCATGGTAGAGTAAAGCATAAAACGAACGAAATTGTCGAAAAGCCGGTTAAGAGTGAATAATGCACACTTTTTCCGCGTTCCCGCTCGTGATCACATCGATATAGTGCAACCATGAAGCATCTTTAAAACATATGGGCTTGACTATTCTGTAGGCTTTCATGATGTTTCGAACGGTCATTACATTTATAACGCGTATCCTTTTCCAACATGCTGCAATAATTATATTGCTTACGAAAGTCGGCAGATATGAAAGTTAAGGTTTCCCACCGCAAATGAAAGGCGTTATACGACAAAAATCAAAGCGGACGGTTCCGGCAAACACTCCCACAATGAACTCCATAAAAATGCGTCAAAATCATTGACATGGTTTTCACGATGCGGCTGGCTCTAAGTCACGGATTGACATGAAATGTAATAGCTACACACATAATAGAGAAGATTTCGAAGTTACGCACACAGATAATGATATTGCTTAAGCTTCACAATGAGACGTGGGCAATATGGGAAAAATGACAATATTGGCTTCCAAACCATGTTGGTCTGGTTTACAGTTCCCCGAAGGACAACAGTCTAACCAATAACGTCAGCGATTTCTTTCAACCACAACGTGCACTACATACCTTTTGTTGTAGTGCACGTTGCATGCACTACAGTCGATATTCCAATGCACTACAGTCGATATTCGAATTAAACCATGCGGAGTAGACTGATAACGATGACGCAGAGAGCAGGCTCTCAAGCCAAGGCATGATTGGGAAGTTGATCACACTGAATGTGTTACAACCCATTTGAGAACAAACGTATCACAACATTGTGCAAACGCGATATACCTCTGCTGTTCACACCATCTGCCTACCAGAAACTCATAGCCTTTAATCCATAGCATTGTCCTGCGCGCACCAAGACCATTTCATGACATTCGCAAGTAGTTCTAAGCTTGGTTGTCAAGTAATTTCCGATCTTCCTCCAATGACATTAATCATGAACTAGGTAGACATTTTATATTTACCATTATTAACAAGATTTTTATGATTCTTAACATGATTAACAACATTTCTTAAAAAGACATTTCAGATTTTACCATGATTAACAGATTTCATACATGGGGTTACTTATCTGACGCTTTGGCGCTGAGTTCTTGTAAGCTGTGAGCAAGAAGTGGGGTCTAACATTTGCGCCGCCACACTCAATACGTATTTACACGTCAAATTCGTTACAGACAATGCTAGTACGTACAGGCGCTACATGCAAGAAACCTCACAAAAAGTGGAATGTGTGTAAGGTGAAAAACATGACCCAGCGCTTCTTGCTAGCAAGCGAAGCAAGTTCAAAAGTTTCACAGCTATGGGACTGGCACCTGATGAAAGTCACATCAACACTAGGAGGATAATGAAATGAAAGGAAAACTACACCTGTAAATGAAGAAGAAGTATGTAGCGTCAGCGAATACACTTTTTAAACTGCTATCTGTAAGCCTGAGGGGGTCTCATTGGAGGGGAGAGGGGAGGGGGTGCGAGTGCTGGCTTTCTATAAACTAGACAGGGTTTTGCTCGTTTTAGTGATATTACGACCAGTTCTTGGTAATCTCAGTTCGACAACACTGGTGAACACAAATAATCGTGAGATTAGGGGAGCGATGTACCTTCAGGGAGAAGCAGTGCTTCATGCGTGTTTTCGAGCGCATTATTTTCCTGTGTAGTACCAAATCCCCCATCACACAATGTTTGCTGCACCACCAGCAGTGTCACAGGTCCATCCCCAACCACACACCTGCCGCTCCTGCTCACCAGGGTCAGCGCAGCGCCGTCTCGCCCGGACTGGTGTCAGCCGCTGCA